GGTTTAGGGTTTAGGATTTAGCATGGCAGGGCCTTGGTTTCGGAGGTTCCAGAGGTTGCTGTTGCCCTCTTCTTGGGGTCGAAGCTTTCGCTTCAGGTTTCCGTTCGACCGTTTTCAGAGTCAAGCACCTTAGGGTCTAAGATGCTTCGTATCTATGGGATTGATGCCTTTAGCCTTAATTTATAAGTGTCTTAGAGTCTCGAGCAGCTTTCGAGGTTGTAGCATTTAGCCTTAGGTGCTTCGCCTAAATCAGGGTTTTAGAATCCACAACACCGGCCGACAGTGCCAAAACCATGCGTTTTCCAACATTTTGTAAACATGACAACTTTCTGATCTCCCACAACGAAGCGCTGATGCACACGAAACATCGGCACATGCGGTGCAAACCGAACTGCCCTCAACATTTCAAGGCTTAGTAATCCCCCCACGGAGTAGTTTAAGGAACCACAAAACTCGACTTGAACGGGTACCTCCATGAGACCAAGAAAGAAAATCTCCAGTGTCTAAGAGTGCGTTCTAGCTTCCTGCTGATCTTGAGGATGTAGATGGTCTGTAGTATGGCCTGGGGAATGTCCTCACAAAGTGTGCGCACGAGATGGAGCCGGTGCCACACGCTTTTGAAGTCTTCTGGGAGCGTGAGTCTGGCCGCCAAGGTGTCGAGATGGATCAGCTTCAAAAAGCAAGCTTTGGTAGGGTCCTGGAAGCAAATAAAGCCCATGACACCCCACTGTAGCCCAACAACACCCACGGCAAAGCTTACCAGCATACACCATCCCAACGTTTGGGCCAATGGATTGCTGCAGCTCAGCGCGATGGCGATGCTGATGCTGTCCTGGTAGGCGTCTAGGTACCTGACAAGCCCAGCTTCTTAGTGACCAAAATACAGGGATGTTTGAACCACCAACAAGTTACAAAGGTTGCTTTCTCCACTGCTAGGTCCTAGGTGCCCGCAGAAGGATAAGCAGAACTTCCAGAGAAACGCCATCGGCTGAAGCTCGTCGCCGGTGAAGGTCGGGTCCCTCATGTAGAGAAACAGCTCCAAGACTTTGGTGATCACAAAGCAAAATAGAAAAAAACATATGCGTCTCCCAGAAGAAGCCAGCTTTGCATGTCAATGTGTCGAAGAAAAACATCGGTGTGAACGTGCAGCAGGACACATACAGCAGGAACAGGCTGAAAAGCACGACGTCTCGTCGAGCCACGAACACGGCATTGCCTTCCAGCAGGGTTTTCTGCGAGGTCACGGCGTCGAGAAGTTCCTTGTCCTCTGACTCCCGGGCCAAGTCTCGGGCATCGTTGGCCGGATTCGTGACTTCTTGGTAGGCGGCTTCTGGGGAGTTGAAGGCATGGCCAGCATCCGTCAGCGTGGGGTGGCGTCGCTTTGCCGCCGCGCTCTGGGGCCGGCAAGTCACGGCAATGGCCGACAGGATCAGCGCACCACAGCAGGTCCCAATGATTCCCTGAAACAGCCCCTTCCGCCTCGCCAGCTCCTCGGAGTTGAGCTCGGCAGTGGTCCCCTTCCTTTCCCGCCCCGAACCGACCTCCTCAGCAGTGCCGTTGGTACCGTTGCTGACGCTGGAGGGCCGGGAAGCCACCTGCAGCCCACGGGGCGGCCCGGCAAGGGGAAGGGGGGTTGGCAGGCGGACTTGCCAGACCCGACGATGGCCAAGGCTCATGACGGTGTGCTGAGACCCCAGAAGTTCATACGGTTTTGTGGTCCATACCTAAAAGCTTCAATGTACCTGCGGACTGTTCGAGCCCCATTTCCGGCCGTGGAGCGGCATGAAGCTCCCCTAAACCCTAAACCCACCTAAACCCTAAACCCTAAACCCTAAACCCTAAACCCTAAACCCACAGCTCAACCAAGCTCCAGGAGTCTGTGACTCCTGCACGCAGACAGCAAGCCCTGAGCTGTAGGCAAGATACTCGCGCATGCAGATACATATACACATATACATCTATACGCACAAAAACAGCTACACACATCTATATATAGAGAGAGCATTTATCACACACACACATGTAGATATATGATATGCATGTGTGTCTCTCTCTCTCTCTCTATATATATATAGGTATGTATACAGACATGTACATGCACATATACAGAAACATGTACCTAAACATAATAAGTATGACAATACATATGCATATGCATGTACATTTACATTTGGATGTACATACCTGTGCATATATGCTATTTAGGTTGATGTTACTGGTAACTGGCTAACCAATAGGTCAACCAATCAGTCAATACACCAGTCAAGCAAGCAAGCAAAAACCAAGCAACCATTCACAACCAATCAATCAATCTTCCAATCAATCAATCCTTCACTCCATCAACCAGTTAGGCAAGTAAATGATTCATACAGTAATTACGCTACAAACATTACTGTTATAATACCAAGTAGCTTAGAACTCCTAGTATCATCATATCCGGGCCAACATCATACCACAAGCCGAGCACTTTTTGTCTGTCCACTTCTGGCGAGCACGACAGCTCAAGGAAGCTTGGCACCACTTTCATATCTCCTTACGGGTAACTGATGAGATGCTCTGAACCCTGAAACCGAAACCTTTACACCTTCTTTTTAGGGTTTAGGGTTTAGGGTTTAGGGTTTAGGGTTTATCGAGTCAGGGCTTGCTTCTTTTGTTGCGAGATGATCACAGTAGGGCTTCCAGCAGCTGCTCTGACTCCCACTGCTCCCTCTTCGGCAGACTCACGAAAGAAGCGCAGACGGTCCGGCAACATGCAGCCTCAGCGAGGAAGAGCCAGGACCACAAACTCCAGGACCCCGGAGTGCTGAGCTGAAGTATAATGTAGGAACTTGATTAAGAAACCTTGGGCCTTTATTAGGGTTCTTTATATGAATCTTACTAGTTTGGTATTTCAGGGCCAGAATTTCTTAATCAGGTTCCTACATTACCCTCCAATAGCAAGTACAGTACTACTTGGGTTCGTATGGCCTGGGGTTCGGATTTCGGGGAGTGGATGATTTCGATTGAAGTTTGCACCCTTCCTTCCATAGCTGCTCGGCCGCCTTCTGCTTCGTCGGTAGGTAATACCCTAAGCCCTAAACCCTAAACCCCTAAACCCTGAACCCCAAACCCCAAGCCCGAAACGCTAAACCCTAAGCCCTAAGCCCTGAGCCCTGAGCCCTAAACATTGGGCTGCCCAGGGCTTCACGCCCGCATGCAAAAAAAGGAGGCTTTATGTTTACCCATAGGCGCCAGAGTAGTTCCCCTAAAAGGGACCCTAATTTAGAGAACATAGGTCTCTGGGCTCCAGAGCCTAAATAGCGGAGGTCTGAGAGCCTTAGCGTAAGGAATCGTATCTTGTTAATGGTTCAGGGTTTACGGTTTTAGGGCTTGGGGTCTGGGGTGCAGGGTTTAGGGTTTAAGGTCTAGGGTTTGGGGTGCAGGTTTTTTGGGGCTTTAGGGTTTAGGGTTTGGGGTTCAGGGTTTAGGGTTTTAGGGTTTAGGGTTTCGGGTGCAGGGTTTAGGGTTTGGGGTTTGAGGTGCAGGGTTTAGGGTTTTGGGGTTTAGGGTTTAGGGAATCGTGTTCAGGCTTCGATGTTGCAGCAAGTTGAGTCAGGCAAACAATCTCGGTGTGTCATGCATTTGAGGCTACCACAGTACTATAGGGGCCTTAATCTGTAGTTATAATACGGAACCCCCAACACCCTATTCTAATCATTAAGGCCCCTGCATTACAGAAACTCTTCAACCCCAAACCCGAAACCTGATCCGAAAAGGCCTGAACGCCAACTCTAACACACGCAAACGCAGAAACAATCCAATCTTATGCCAACAGCATTCTGGTGACTTTGATTATGGGGCCCGCCCCTAAATTCCAAACCCTGAACTGTTGCAGAACGCCTTTTTGAAACGTCGGGTATTCCGAGGAGTACGCTTTTTCGCAGGCCGTCGACTCTAGGTACTGCCCAGGCCTTCGCTGACTGGGGCTTAAGGTTGGTTTTGGGTTGGGGTTTAGAGTTTGGGGCCATAGGGTTTTGGGGCGTATGGACCAGCAGCGCTTTTTTAAGTTGCTGGCCTATATTGCGGGTTATGGGCTTATGGCATATGGCATAAGGTGTAGGTATGGGGAAATAGTAGGGCCAACTACCAAGATAATGGTTATATGCTGCAGGCATCGTTACACTTAATTGGAGAATCAGGCGGCGAAAGCCCGATACCAACGCTTCAGCCCTCCCTCTTGAGTCCTAAACCCCGGAGTCACAAAAACTCATCTCTACCCTAAACCCTATAAACCCAAAACCCTAACCTCTACCCTAAACCCTAAACTCTCTTCAGTGTCTCAGCCTTGGACGGACGAGGCGAGCGGAAAGAAAGTACCCAGAGGGCCACCACCGGAGCCCCATGAATTCGTCGTTGCTTGGGGTTTCGGGGGCTTCCCCAAAACCCTAAACCCAAACCTTAATCAAACCCTAAACCCTAAACCTTAAACCCTAAACCCTAAAACCGAAATCCTTTCTTAGGGCTTGGGTCCGGCTTTTGTCCATGGACCTCGGGTTTCCGTCTAGGCCTAAGGGCTCTTCTATGGAGCCGAATACACTTTCTAGGGTTTAGCGTTTTGTTTTAGGGTTTAGAGTTTAGGGTTTCCCTTGAAGACTATGTGATATAGGAGCCTTACAAATTAGAATAGGTTTTTGGGGTGTACTATACTACAGTTTCAATAAGGGACCCCCGCAAAGTAGTATAGGTAATTAGTTGAGCCCCTATACATTATCATATAGAAAGGCCTACTAGAAGCCCCTGGAACTCATAATGACAATGATATGTTCAACAATCCCTCAGGGGTTATATGATTGGATGCATAAACAGAAAATGATTCCTGACGAACAACCAGCTGGCTTTTCAAGCCTAAACCCTAAACACCCTATAAGCCCTAAACAGATCAGGGCCCTTACCTCGAAACGCTGGGTGTCTTCCTTAGTTGAGCCTCTTTTCCGGGGCCTGGGCCTAGTGGCTCCGAGCTTGAAAGATCACGCTCTCCAGGTGTAAAATGGAAGCCTCAATAAGTAGGACAGGGTGTTGGAACCAATTCTATCTATGGAAAGGAGCCTCAAGGAATCGTGCGAATATGTACCCATACTAATTATCCGTACCAATATGTACCCATACTGATTATCCACGCTTCCACTTTTGCGATCCAAAGGAAAGCTCGACTTAGAAGTTTACGGTCCAACCCAAGCCCCATTTTCAGCACCCCACCCTCAGGTGCAACTCAGAGTTTAGGGATTACGAGAAAGGAACGGTTAAACGTCTAGGGTATACCCATGATCCTAAGAAATGACATCGCAAGTACCTACACAGTTTAGGGCTTATTCTGTCACGGTTTAGAATTTTGTTTAGCAACGTGCTTTGACGGAGGTATACACCAAGACCCGCTATTGTTTAGGTTGCCAGGATTTGGAGTGTTTAAGCTCAGCTTTTGAGGAGGTACACATTGAGACCCTCTCCCTAAACCCTATACCGTAAACTCTATAGAAGGTACCGCGAGAGCGCTGGAACCCCAGAAGCACATGGCCCCCGAGTATTTTCAGAAAACCTTCGTTCTGCGCAAGTCTACGTACAATCCATGTAAATCCTGCAGGAGGGGAGGGTCCGGCAGTTTAGGGTCTACCCAGACCTTCTTCCACTATTAGGGACCCTACTGTAATTTGGTGTGTATATATATGTATGTATATATTCCGTGATAAAGAAAAAACTGGGGGTACCTGCAGTCTCCAGTGTAAGTCTTTTATCGGGATTCAGCAATGCTATGACATAAAACAAGGAACACTACCTAGAGTTTGCAGTCAGGGGGCTACCAGTTTCAATAAGTTCAAGAGATTGAAGCTACTGGGCTTCCAGTTTTTGTGATCTCACTATATTATCTCTTACGTCCATTTGGTACTTCAGCCCATGATGAGGTGAGGCCTAAACAATGCGAACATGAGCCACATAGAAGCTCGTGTATTCCAGGAGGGACCATGCGTCGATGTGGGATATTTCAGGTTC